GGACAAAACAATTCGTTTCCTTCTGTTTGTTCCTAATGTTAATCCATCTTGATTATAGTAGAGGGAGCTGTGAAGAGCTCACTTGCTCTCCTTAATTTTGGAATATTTAGTACCTGTACCAAAAATTTCAGTGGTTCTGGAATTTTCCTTTTTGAAAGTACTTGCTGATGGCATAATTCTATTTCCCTTAAGCCATTCTGTGAATATGAATGTTTCTTACTGCTTAGCTCTTAATACTGTTTGTTATTTTGCAGGCATTCTCTTTAAAATTTAACTGCCTCAGTTTGTACCTGACTTCTAAAAATATTTTTAGTGTTTTATTCTTTTCATTATCCAATTTTCAGAATGATGAGTTGATATTCTAGGAACCTCTAAAAGTATCCTGAATTCAGATTCTGTGTGTTGGTGTTTCATTCCACTGTGTTTTTTCATTTTGGCCAATGGAATGCCTTTCAATCTTCGTCCTACCATCAGACTCCAGTAGTCCTTTATGGCTTCTTTCTAGTGTGACAAAATGGTCCAGGCCCAGTTTGTTCACTTTTGTTTTCAGACCTGTAATGATCCATTTCTCCCAAGGAGCACTGGCTCTTTTAAAAAAATGACATTTAGGAACCAGTCTGGGTGGGAGCAGTGTTAATACTGGGTTATTGTTTATCTGACTTTGTGGATGATTAAATCCCATCAGAGCCTTTCGAAAAATAAAGGGAAAATTGTGAGCTCTTGAAAGGACAGTGATGGCACCAGTTAGTTGGTTGATGGAAGCGCCTCTTCTGTTACCTTAATCACAAAAGGTTCTGCTATTTGGGCCTCAACCAGAGAAAAAAATAGGTTGATAAAGCCATTTGGGGGGAGAGCAGGTCAGGTTGTCTAAACTGAATCATGAATCATGCAAATGATGGATAATAATAGCATGAGGTTAATAGTGGTATATCACAGTTTGCAGAAGCAGCTGTGGTATTGACAACTACAAGCCTAATGAGGGGAAAGAAACACAAGTGTGGGGTCTTGTTAGAATTTTCCCAAGAAAGGTTGAAGATCACAAATAACATGCTGAGACTATTAGTCAAAGGTGGTGGTCCAGGCTCTAGAGATAGAGGGTTAAAGTTACTTGAGAATGTTTAAGGCTGTCTTCCAGCCAGTTCTTGCCAAGCAGCCATTTGCTCCCTTGACTCATGAATTTGGCAGTAGAGGTTCTGTTTTAATGGGAGTTCTGAGAGGTGGTTTTGGGACTCATCTGTGCTACTCCTTAAAATTGCTTGATCACATGAAGGCTTGAGGCTGCATTTGTCCTTTGTTAGGCTGCAGATTCTCTCATCTTTGTCTCCAAAATGTTTATATTCTACAGACTCTGGATTTTGTGTCTTAAATTGGAGAGAGGTGGCGTAAGCAAAACAGTTGACCCTGTAGGGCTTACATTAATTCGCTTGGGCTAGCAGTCAACATTTTCTGCTCCCCTTAAGACAGGTTTTACAGATGAGACTGCTCAGAAAACTTGTGAGTTTACTAGCTGGAGCTTGGAGTTGAAAGTGTGTCTGATTCCAACACCAAATCAGCACACAGCCACCAACTCCAAACTACTGTACTTTTTGCCTCAGCTGTTAACAGCCTTCTCATCGGCTTCCTTACTGCCACAGTGCCATTCCAGTTCATTCTTAGCTGCAGTAAGAAGTTACTGCAGCTAAGAATGAACTGGAATTCCAGACAAATTGGTATATCCATACTGTAGAGTACTACTTAGCAATAAAAAGAAACAATTACTAATGAAAGTAACAGTGGGTGAGGGTGAATATTCAACCTGCTGAGCAAAAGCCAGATACAAAAGCATGTAGTACATCATTCAATTTATGTGAAACTAGAACGTAAGTGTAAATACTTGTCACTAACCACATTTAAAACAGATGCATTTAAAAATTGTACATAAACATTACCTTAAAAAAAAAGGCCTTTGATGGCTATCTCTCGATCTTTGATGGGGCCTGCAAGGCACATGACTGAGCATTTGCTTGTTTTTACCATTGCTTGCCACTCCAGGTTAATCCTACCTGTTCAGCCTTTTTCTACTTGTGGGCACTTGATATCTTTTGCCTCAAATATTCCTTTGCATGGAAGGGTTCCCACCCTTTGGGTCTCATTACTAAGAGGTCTTCTCTATCCCTTCAGTTTCCTTTAAGGCACTGGCCAGCTGTAATTTATCTCCTGGCCTATTTGCTTTTATTTAGCCTGTCTTCCTGGGTAGAAGTGAAATGCTTTTCTAGAGTAGGGACCTTGTTTGTCTTCACCCATGGGCTGATACACAGCAGGATCTGAATAAACTGTCAAATTCACATAAAATGTCATTCAGAAAGACTCGTGTATGGTAGGTATGTGAAAGTTAGATTTGAGTGGTGGGGAAAAGACTTGTTTAAATGACTGAATTTGGGGTTTAAGACAGATCGTGGTCTTTTCTATAAAGGGGAGTGACTGCCTCCCTACTTAATGAAATTGTGAAGAAAAATATGAAAATAACCTGGAAGTGATAATTATTGCAAATAATTGCTTAAACATTTGGAGCCTTCATTATGTGCTCGACTCTGAATTACCTAATTCAGTAACAATTGTTACTGTTTTTAGCTAAGGTTTATAGATGAGGAAGCTTGCTGAAATTTACAAATGTTGGAGGCAGTACTTAAACCTTTAAGCCCAGAACCTCTTGACACTTGATTTTATGCTCTTAGAACTGTTCTCTGTAGACTTTTTGGTCAGTCTTAGCTGGGTGATAGTCTTGTGAGATTGAGAAAAAAACTTCATCTGAGCATTAAAAATGCAAGCATGTTAGGTAGGTAGAACACGTAGTTATATGCCTATTCCATTCAAAAGTAATAGAAAGTTAAAGTATAGAAAATGAAATATAATTCTTAGGAGATACTTCAAATATTCCATTTTAGGTAATAAGGCCAAAACCACCTCTTGACTGGTCTGTCTTCATGAAAGGATGGTGACAGTGTCTTTCTTAGCCCCCAGTGAGAGCATTCTGTCCATTTCTTTGTTGTCACTGCATCTTCGGGGATCAGTTCATTTTCTCTTAAGACTTTGTATTTACCAATAACTGCATGAACAGTTCTGTCAATGAGAATATGTCTAACATCAGTCCAGTGCTTCACACAGGAACTTTTCCCATCATTCAGCACCTCGTTTTGAAAGGGTGTTCTGCCTTTCTGTCCCGTGCTGAAGCTGGCTACGTTCAGATAGTTAAGAGAGCCTCAGCTTTGAAAATGAACTTAAAATAGCTTGCAGTGAGACCTGATATTTGGAACAATTGTTGATATTTCTTATTCCATGACTGGGATATAGCACTGTTTGACGACAGCACTTACCTCAGTTTATGCTCTAGTAAAACGAGAGTTAAACCTACAGCCAGTGACAAAATATTAGCCAAATGTTGCAGATTGCTGAGTTTGGTTTTTGAGCTTGTTGGCCTATTCCTTTCCCTAGTTTGAGTTTTTTCCCCTTTAGCCAAAGCAGAGCTTGGCTGTTGGGGCTCCAGACGGAGTGAGGCAGTTGCACGTGAAGACCGTACATTTGAAGTTGATGGGAATGACAGGAGTGATGCTTCTGAAGGAGCGGGGACGGTGAAAAATACCTTCAGAGAGGCCCTGGTTAAGGGAGCTTAACAGTTGTAGCGCTCACACAGTAGCCAGTCTCGGCCAGGAGGCGGGAAGATGGCCTTGAGTAGGCGCTGACCAGAGTCCTGCTGGCTGCTCCTTGTCCTGTAGCGCACCCGGGCTGGGGTTGCAGCGACGTCTTGAAGCCACTAGGTGACAGCCGTGCATTTTCAAAGCTGGCTCGCCTACCAAAAGAGAAACTGGGATCCTGAGAACCCACCCGGGAGTCCCGGAGGTGGGAGAGTGGGGGGTGAGAGTCGCCTTGGAGACCCCCTCCTCCCCAGCAGCAGGGACGGAGAGATCGGAAGGGGGTTCATTTTAGAGTGCCAGTAGTCCGAGAGAACATCTGGGACATGCCACGAACCTTCATGGACTCAGAGGGCGGGTAAAATCGGCCTCCCTTCCCCGCTTCAGTGGAGCTGACCCGAGGGCTGGGCCTGATCCACCCTCTCCCTGTTGGTGGGTGTGAGTGAATGCGGTAGCAAGGATGCTCCGCACCTAACTGCATTCTTGCGGACTGCTGCATGCCCAATTCAGGCAGCGTTTGCGCCGCGGCGCCGGTCCTTGCGCCCCGGTGCAGAGCTCCGACGGTTTTCTGCGCTCGCCAGCTCCAGCTCGCGAGTTCTGCCCCTTCGTAGCTGCGGGTCCCGTCGCCGAGATCCTGAACGCCTCCAACCCGGAGCCGCCAGGAGGAGGAGGAGGAGGCAGTGGAGAGGCCGCGGCAGGCAGGCAAAGCAGGCAGGGCCCCCTTTGATGTGGGCGCGGCGCACCCAGGCGAGCTGAGCGCCCGTCCGGCCGCGCCCCGAGGGGGGAGTCCCTGGGCCCCGCATCCTCATTGTGCCGGCTCGGGCCCGGGCCCGCCCCCGGTCCCCCGCCCCCTCGCCGCCCGCGCGTAGAAAACGCCCCGGCCGCCGCCAGTGGTGGGAGGCGGCGGTGCGCACAGCCGGGGAGACGCGGAGGAGGAGACATGAGCCGGCGGGCGCCCAGACGGAGCGGCCGTGACGCTTTAGTGCTGCAGCCGCGCATCCCGGCTCTGGAGTGCTGACCCCTGGCCTCGCGCATCCGCGAGTCCGGCTGGAGAGCGCACACCAGCTTCCAACACCGACGCGCATGTTGACCCCGTAGTGAGCCAGTCAGCCAGGCTCCCGCGGACGCCCGGACGGCCAACGAGCCAGCAGTGAGCAAGCCTCCCTGCACCGGCCGGGTGCCTCTTGCACGGCGGCGGCCACTCCGTAGCCCCCGCGCCAGCCCTGAGGGCGTAGCGCTCCGGAGGAGCCGCGCGGGGCGCTGATGCCGCAGGGCGCGCCGCGGAGCGCCCCGGAGCAGCAGAGTCTGCAGCAGCAGCCGGCAAGGAGGGAGCAGCAGCGGCGGCGGCGGCGGCGGAGGCGGCGGAGGCGCCCGGTCCTGGCCGCGCGGAGCGGACATGTGCAGGCTGGGCTAGGAGCCGCCGCCTCCCCCCCGCCCAGCGATGTATTCAGCGCCCTCCGCCTGCACTTGCCTGTAAGAGCCCGCGCGCGGTGCTGCCCACCCTGCCTGGCTGTCTGTCCGTGTGCCTGTGGTTCTGTCTGCCTGCCCGGCCGTTCGTCTGACTTTCCGACTGCCTATCTGTCCGTCTGCGCTCTCCCCTCTCTCAAGTTCCATTGACCACCTCTCCATCTCTCTCCTGCAGGTGTTTACACTTCCTGCTGCTGTGCTTCCAGGTACAGGTAGGTGAGCTCCTGACTCTGACCTTACCCCTCTCCTGCTGCTGTATACGCTGACCCCCCTCTCCCGTGCCGCGCCCCCTCCCTGTGCCCCACCCCTCCTGGGCGCGGAGCCCAGTGCACCTGTTCCCAGGGCTCAGAAGGGCGGCTCCGCGCGCTATGCGCCGGCGAGGGCCAGGCCAAGGGCAAGGGGCTCTGCTGCGGGTCTTGACTAGCGCGGCTGGGAGGAGATCACCGGAGCCGGCGGGCTCAGTCGCTGCAATGGGCCCTGGTCCAATGTGCCCACAGCTGGTGAGGAGTTGGGACCTGGGGATTTTCTCTGCCAACCGTCCCTTAACATCTCCGCCCGCTCCTCCAAACAAAAAGGCTCCTTTCAGCCGAGTGGATTTTGAGTCCAGGGAGAAAGCTTCAGTTGTAAATTACTCGGTGGTTCTAAGGCGTTTGCAGAAGAGAGAGACAGAGACAGATATACGGACGGACAGACTAGAGAGACTAGGGTGAGAGGGAGCAGAGGAGGGCTCCTGGACTGAGGGGCTATTGCCCTCGAGGCCGCTCCCGAATGGGCCGCGCTCCGCAGACCCTCGCCCAAGGTGGTGCAGCCCTCGGCTGGTTCCCCACCTCGCTCCCTGCTCGCTCGCTCTCCGTGAATCAGAAGAGGGCTTGGCGCTCAGCCTGGAAAGCACTTGCTAAAATCTGATCTGTTACTTCAGCAGCTTTCAGACTCAGGAAGGTCTTGGCATGCAGACAGTTGGAACGCTCGGGCTTCCAAAGCCATGGAAATGAAGGAAAAAGGGGGGTGGGAGGGAAAGAGAAGAGGGAAAGAGGGAGCGACTTCAACCCCGATTAGAACCAGACCAGGGCTGCCTCAGCTTGGTGGGAGGAGGGAGCTCAAAGGGAAAGGGAATAGGAAGTGCCAGCTGCCCTAGCCCCCCACCCACCTAGAGCTGCGGGGGAGGGGCCCTAGGAGGAGCTGGACTGGGGCCAAAAGAGATTATCTGCTCCTTTTCCGCCTGGGTTGAAGGCAGGTGTCCTCACAGGGTTAGAGAGGATGCTTAGACATTAGCCTTCTGGGCTCTGGAAGTACCCGAAGAAAGCCTTCAGCAGGGAAAATGGTGGTTCCCCGAGTTTTCTGGTTCCAGGAGTGTTTTATGTGTTGAGTGCTGCTGAGACTCAGCAGCCGCTTGCCGTGCTTGGTGATGGTTGTGGATCTGCTTATCTCCCCTCCACTCCTGGGAGAGGATTGTTCCCATCAGTATGGGCATTGAGCTGGGGGCAGCTAGTTGGGGCTGGGGGCAGGCTGGCTGACTGGACGGACAGACTGACGGCTTCTTTCCTCCTGTTGTCCAGGCTGGGGTCCCCAGTGACTCCTTGAATCAATACAACTGTAGTCAGTAACTCAAGACTGGCTGTTTGCCAAAGCAGATGTGACCCTGTGTGGTGGCGGGGTGGGGACTGGCTGGTATCAGAGAGACAGGCCAGTGCCAGGCATGGCCTATCTGGTTTGCAGCTGAGTACCCAAGCAGAGAGCAGGCCCCAGGGTCACTCTGGGGAATCTGCTTCTCTGACCTGGGTGAGAGCTCTTTTCCTGAACATTGAGCTTGGGGGTGAAGGACAATGAAATGTGCATGGAGGTAGAGAGATGGCTGGGGACTTTGTTGCTCAAGCCTCTTGATGACTACTGCCTCTTGGTCCTTGAAGTGCGGCCCAGGAGGGGTTGCTGTGTGGTCTGTGTTCTCTGAGGGAGTGTGAGGGAAGGAACCTAGATTCTGCATCCCACCTCCTCCTCCTGGACAGAGCTAAAGCCAGCCTCTGGGGAGAGAGCTGGGTGGTCTGTCTGAGTTAGGTCCATCTGGGTTAGGACTTCAGGCAGGTGAGGGAGCCTCTTCTCCTTCATCTCTTAGCAAACCCCTTCCTCTGCAGCTTTTCCCCATCCAACTGCTGAAAGACTGATGTTTTTAACCCATGGTCCATGCACCTTTAGAATATCTAAGGATGGGATTATGAGGAAGAAGGGTCCCTGACACATTGCACTAAAATGGTGTCCAAGTGTGCTTGTGTCAGAGCAGGTTCTCAGCCCCCCCACAAATACTGAGAAGCACCTATGATTCCTGAAAGATAAAGAAATGCAACTGTAGGGGGTTATAGGCAAAGTTGGCAGGTTCATGTCCCCATTCATGCTCTAGGGACCAAGGTGGAGTGGCCATTAGAGGTAGAGATGAGGGGTGGCACCCACGTGTTAGTTGCCAGGAGTCTGAAGTCTGTTCCCTGCTGAGGTGGTGTTGGGCAGACAAAGGTAGCACAGCTACTTCCTGGGCAGAGAGAGCTTAGAGGGTGGTAGTGAGAGCTCCTTGGTGTGCATGGGCGGGTGTGGGGTGGGGGCAAGCCTCCCTGCATGGTGGAAAGGGCTCATGGCTTTGCAGTCCCTCACACTGGGCCTGAACCCCAGCTCCATCTTTCCCTATCTGTAGATCACTGCTAGTCATAGCTTCATAATTTTTGTAATGGGTGGCCCTGTGGGTGAAGGGATACATGATAGGTGTGGGAGAAATTTTGCAAAATCTCATCCACCCAGGAGGGCATATATTTCTGCTGGGTAATGGATACACCTATGCCCTTCCCTTCCCCCCCTCTATATTTTGGGGGACTGGTCCAGTCTTAGCAATGTAGTTTCTGGGCTCCTCCCCTCTTCCCATCTCTCAGCCCCCACTCACAGATTGGGCCTCCACTCCCAGCCACAGTCAATGCCAGACGCTGCCCTCCTCCTCTCCCCATGTAGAGAGCCCTGCCCTCACCCGCCAGCCACCCTGGGTAGTGGGAAGCTGGGAATTTAATAAAATCCCTTCTCCACACGACTTGGGATATCACGGGTAGCTCAAATCAGAAGAATTTAAAAAATTTCCAAGGGGAGCAGGCGGCGTGACCAGTAAATTGCTTTTCTGCACTTGGCTGAGCGCTGACAATGACACCGGCCTGGGCCTTTCACGCAGCTTGGCTGGCACCTGCCTGACATTGTTCCTGCTGCCAGGCTCGGCTAGGTCCTGGCCTTCCCCAGACAGGCCAGGCTTGAGGCAGGCCAGGGCAGGGGGAGCTTCCTCCGACAGGCCCCTGTCCCTCCTGCAGCGCCAACTTCCTCTCTCACCGCACCATGTGTTCAAGTTTGGAAATTTCCTTCCACAGCCGCTCTTGGCCTGACCAGCCCCCACACATGGCCTCCTCAGGTTTAGAACCTGTCTCTAAGCTGGCTAGGATAGGGGAGCTGGGGACAGACTCCTTTGGAACATGATGAGGACGGGAAGCTGTCCCATTGTGTGGTACTTTTAATTTCTTAAAGCCGTGACATCAGCCACCCGTCCATCCAGTTAGGTATTCATATGACAGTACTTGCTGGGAGCTAGCTTCTTGGCTGGCCCTGGGAAGAGGACTAGTCAGTTCCTGACTTCAAGGAGCTCCCAGTCAAGGGCAAAAGTGCTTTAACCCCATCTGTTGTGAACTGTGGTGAGGTGCGAGCCAACTTCCTTCAGTCTTTGGGAGGAGGAACCTGAGGCTGAGGAGAGGTGCCTTGGCCAGATGGAAGAGAGCTGCTTGTAAGAATGCCAGAGCGGCTCTTGCATCAGGAAGCATGCTTCATTCTATTATTCTTCCTCCTGAAGTAGGAGAGGGTAATATCCCTAATTTGCAGATGGAGAAACTGAGGCACAGAGCCTGGAAAGGATTTGCTCAAGGCCACAGCAAAGACTCAAGATCTTGTATTCTTTCTACTACAGCAGACAGACTTTTTCAGGAAGACTACTGATGGCAACATGGAGTCCCAAGAGGCAAGCTAGGGGTCCTCAGTGAGAGACCCTTTTGGAGTCCCATGATAGGATCCCCATAGTAGGGGATTATCAGAGCCCAGGTAGGTGTCTTTGTGATTGAGGACCCCTGATTCAGAGACTGTAGGCCCTGATCTTCCTGGAATGTTCTGGTCTGAAAGGGTCCCAGAGCCAGAGGTGGGTGTTCGTGGGGGTGGGGCCCAAGCACTCCCCTCCCAGCCTCTTTACCAGCATGGAGGAGGTGAGGGTGGGAGGCACCCTGCCAGCATTCCTGTGGCCCCAGAATGTCACCTGCTCTGAGATAAGGTGGTGGGTTTTAAAATTTCTAGTGGTTGGTACAGCTGGTATCTTGGGGATAGCTCTGAAGGCATGTTGGGCCCACAGAGGGAGACGGAGGGGAACAGGGAGGAAAGGTCCTGCCCTCTAGCAGGAAAGTTGTGGGTGTGGGAAAGCAGGGTGCAGGCACACCAGGCTAAGAGCAATAGTTGTAGCCACCACCAGGCATTGTGTGCTCACATGTGACAGGCAGGAGTTTACATCTAGGCTAAGCCTCACAACCAGCCTAGGATTAGGGAATTTGCAGGTAGAGAAAGTGAGGCTCAGAGACATGAAATCACCTGCCTTTGGTCATACAGCAATAGAGAAAGGGCTGGCTTCAGCCCTGGGTCACCCATCTCTGGGGCCCAGGCTTCTTAAATAGCAGTGTGGGGGCTCTGGACTCTGCCAACCTGGTTCCAATTGTCACTCTGCCTTGTCTTTGCTATGTGACTTTGGACAAGTTATTGACCTATCTGGGTCTTGGCTTCTGCATGCATAAAATGGGAAGAAAACAACTGATAATCAGTCTTCTACTTTCTGAGGGTGTGGAGCAGGGGGCAGTGCAGAGGCCAGTGCTCCCAACACTAGTCTGTGTGTCAAGACCCAGCCCCTTTGCCTCTGCCTCTGGGAGGGCTCCCTTGTCCCCAGGGCACTGCCACCTCCTGGTGACTGGGGAGAAGGGAGGTGTTGATTGTTTCCTTCCTGAGCGCAAGGACCATCTGATGCACTTGGGTGCATCCAGAGTTCTTGCTGGGGCAGGTCTGCCCCCTTCTTGCAAGGAGTGTGGCAGATTACTCAGGGATGGTGCCAAGGTCCCTGCTGATGTGGTCTGGGCTGGGGACAGCCACAGGGCCTCAGAAAGAGCTGAGGCCT